CAATATCTCGCTGTGCAGGGAGCGCGCACTAGCTGTGGTTTGCTTTTGACAGACTGAGACATACACGCAGTAAGGAGGCTGACGCACAAGCCAGCCCCTCTTTATTTTGTGAAGAGTTCTGCTTTGCTGGCTCATTGGCTAGGGAATGTCAGCAGAAAGGAGAAAAAACAAAGCCCTGGATTCCTGGGGAAATACTTTCAGAGCCAGCTTCCTTATATGCATGGATGCAGATGGGAAGATGTCTGGCTAAGCTGTCCCTGACGGTGCAAAAACATGCTTGCAAACCTTGAGCAAGATGCTGCTCCATGGGATGGGAGCAGATGGGAACAACCAGTGTCTCCATCACTAGAACATCTTGTACTCAGAAAGGAAAACCTCATCCCCAGCCCGACTATATTACTTCCTACTGACGCCAAGGCTGTGTTGGCCTATTCCTTGCGCAGGAGGAATTTTGTTTCCATACCTAGGTATGTCCTGTGAATCTTGACTGTACAACAGTGGGGAAGTTCACCCTACATCGGTATGTACTGGTTTCACTTGCTGATGTCAATTTATCCGTACAGTCAGAAGCAGGGCATCTTCCCTATAGCATGTTCCTTAACACTTTGGCTGGATTTTGTCTGGGAATACTTTTCTCAGCTTTGATTTTATTGGTCAGGCCTGGGCTATTTCAAAAGTAAAAGTAAATAACCTCTTCTGGTTGCCAGAAAGACATTTTCCACTGGTTGTAATCTTGAGATTTCCTCCTCGTCTCTGATTATTTCTGATAGTAAAATCTACGGGAGATTCACTGGAAGGGAAAGTATAAGAGTAGGGAGTGCAGTGGCTAGAAAAGAGCAAGGATGGTGAAGGGTTTCAGACCACTAGAAATTAATTTCCAAGAAAGAAATCCACCATGAGCTGAGCTCCACTGAGCTGAAATTTCTAAATAAGCACTGGAAGAAAAATACTTTGGTCAGACATAGGCAGCTGAAGCAGAGAATGAGGGAATTCTGCATAGCATGTCCACTAGATTCAACAGATCCTGGATAAGAGTCTAGGCTCTATTCCAAATTTAGCTGCTGCTTTCCCCATTTCATGTCTCAGTCCTAGCCCCTCAGTTGTCTAATAGGTCTACACATTACTCTTCTCCTGGGCGCTGGTACTGGGCAAGCCAAGTAGTTCCCCTGGTGAAAAACCCATCCACTGGAGAAAGGACAGTTTGTTCCAGAGTCTACAGCCCACAGACAGCATGGGCATGGCCCTGGAATGGGCCATGTTGGATTCCTTCATTGAATATATTGCTTCAGCACTATTTCAGCAGGTATTGTGCCCTTAACTTTCCCTCATGCCGTCCCACTGTGCGTCAGTGTGCACATAGCAGGTCCTTAAGAGCATTCAGGGAAACAAGTCTGGTAAGCTGAAAAGCAACCCTTGCATTACCTGCTGTTCTTTTCTTGCAGAGAAGTCTTAGGAGTGAAAAAGTTTGGTTGAAAAAGGAGGTTGGTGCTAGAGGACATCAAAGCTCTAGTTTCTCTGGGTCCTGCCTGCCACCTTTGTTCCTGGGAAAACCTCCTTGCAGCAGTAATAGAAAACGACACAGTTCAGCATGGTCATAAATGGGACACCCAGCACATCCACTTTAAATTGAAGAAATTACAACTCATCTACCAAGTGTCACACCAACACACGCTGTGGTTTTCCACCACATAGTTATGGTGATAGACCAGGATTTGTCCTGAAGGTCTCTCCTGGAAGTGCTGGCACTTGGAGCTGGTGTGCTAGCTCCATCCTCCAGCCTTTGCCTCCTCCACATCCATGGGCTGGAGCCAAGGAGGCAGGGAATGGTGTCCCCTTGGACCATGGCATTCCCTCTGCCAGGCCTTGCTCTATGGTGGGAGAAGCACAAGGCTGACTTTCCCACTTCGTGTGGGTGGTTGAGAGACACATGCTCACAGGACATGTACTGTGTGACAGCAGCTGCGAGCAGGGAGGTCATTGCCAAGACAGGGTGGTGAGATCCCCCCTCACACAAGGGGCTGTGTGAGGAGCAGGCACCAATCTCCTGCCTGGTGACAAACCCAAGCAATCCACATAGTGATCAGCCACATCCTACCTCTGCTTATCAGTGGCCAGCAGTGAGGTTGCATAAGAGTAATGACTGATGTGAAAACCCCTGCTGAGCCAGCTTGGCCTTGACACACATCCATACCTGGCCATGTCTATGGCAAAACCCTTCTGTGGCTCTCGGGTCATGCCTAAGGCAAACACCATACCATGACCGTTGACAGCAGAGGACACAGCTCCTCTTCCAAGGCTGTGCTAGACACAGTAAGCAAAATCTTCCTGCATTTGCCTTTCCTCATACCATGCTGTCAGACCCTCACTCCCTGCGCAGCCCCAACACCTATCTGACTGCAAAGAAAACATTAACCACTGTGGATGCAGCAAACATCCAGCACTTTGAAAACACTCAGAAAATGCATAAAATGAGCTTTGAATACTCAATTACTATTTCTCCATACTTGTTGCAAGCTTAAAAACTGAAAACTACCCAGCATAGACAAGGAATGAATAAAGATGCGATATCTTCCAAGTATCTTCCAAGCAGAAGATGTTGCAAGTATCTGCAGCATTATTCCCCTACATATACTACATTATCCTCTTGATATATGTGTGATTCAGCTTATTTGGCTGCAGATTTTAAAAAAAAAAAGTGTGCAAGCATGCAGAAAAAAAACAAAAGCTGTTATGCAAAGGAAGCCAAAACGAAGCAGCATGCAGTTATCATGCCTGGATTACAAGGCTTTCTCCTCTCATGGATACTTAACTCCATTCCAGGCTTTTTTCTCTTTAAAAAAAAAATGCCGAATGTTTAACACTATTGTAACACACCTTTACAGCCTGTTAAATACAGAGGTGGGTATTGGCAACCCTAGCAGATTTTTGTAACTGGTGCAAGGTAGTCAAGGATCACTGCTGGAGACACGTCTGGCATGAGGAAGGAAATTTACCTAAAGGCCATGGCTGAAAGTACACGAGGACCAGCATGAGAAGCTCCAGGAGAGGCATGGCTGAGGAAGAAGACCCATGTCAAGGTCCTGCCTCTTCAAATGGCAAGAAGTCCAGGGTGATGCCAGCTCCTGCATCCCTGGGCTGCTTGAGAAACTCGGGACTGCTCTGTGTTAATGCTGGACTGTGTCCTTAGCTACACTGGAGTTTCTAAGGTGAATATGCTCCGGAGGGCTTGCAGGCATACAGATTGAAGTGGTTTGCTTGTAAGGCATGTATATACCTTAAATATACATTAAGTACCTTGGGGCATTCACAACAAAGAGCAAATGAACTTTAGCAATCACCCCTAAAAAGGAAAGGATGTCCCAAATAAGAATATTAATTTTTCAACACTATGTCCTAGAACAAATGCCTAGGATCCTATGAAGAAAAACACACTTCTATGCAGCACCTGCATAGAAAAAAAAAAATTTCCTTCTACTGATCTTGACAGTACATTTTTTTCTACTTTTAAAATTTTGAGATAGATATAGCCACACACCTGCCCTGGCCCTGGAATCACCTCTAGATGCTGCAAAATCATTAATCCTTGTCTTCAAGATTTAACAGCCTACGTGAAGGAAAATTGTGGATTAGAGAGGAACCAGAGTTGGTGACTGGTCCAAGGTCACATAGGACCTATGGGGCTTGACTCCATGCAGAGCACACATCCTTTGGTGCTTTACCAGCTACATCGTCCTGTTCTTCTTCTCCCAGAATTGGGAGTAGCAAGGAGACTGGAATATGAGAAAAGAGACATTTTTCTGTTTTCCATAGTTTTTTTAAATAACATAAATCTGATTAAAGAAAAATATTTCCAGCCTGTTTCTCTACCCAGTGTAAAAGGAGAATTTTATGGACAAATGCATGTGTGTGCATAAATCAGAATTTCAGTTTTGGTGAGACCATGCTTTCCTGGGGAAAAAGAGAAAACTTCAAAACTTTCAAAAAAATGGGTAAGTTTGATGGCAACATCCCCACTGAAGGTGTCTGCCAAGCCCTTTGCCGAGGTGGGCAGGGGCTGGCAGACGGTGTCAGCTCTGGGCTGTCATGCACCCTGGCTGCTGGGAGGATGGACCTCCCTCAAGATGGGCAGAGCTGCTATCAGAGCTTTTTCGTTGGAAATCAATAGTGTGGCAACTTCTGGGTTTGCTGATAGGCAGCAGGCCCCTCTGATTTCATTGACAGCAGCTATTTGTAAAATACCATCATATGCAACCTTCTCGAGGGCAGGAATGTCACAATTTCAGCATTTCCAAGCAGTGACAGTGGGCCCCTGTGGACATTCCATGAAAATTAGTCCAGAGAAGTAAAAACCCAAAGCAGTAGGAATGCAAAGCACTGTGTATTAGGCCTCATCCAAGACTGTTCTGTTGTAAAAGGTACTACGCAGCCTCTGCTCCCTTGCAAATCCTGCCTAAACCTAGGAATGAGATGGCAACAGTGTCATCACCCCCCTTCACGGGGTTGCTTGCAATAACCTTCCCTAAATCCTCTTATTTTTCACCCTGTGCTGGAACCGCTCCGCACAGGAACCCGTCCGCGCCGCATGCTCCCTCCCTACTTCTCACTTTCACTCCTATTGGTTTCATGTTCCCTTTGCCACGCGGAAAAGCTTTCAAGCTTATCCAGCCCAGCAGTGGAGTTTATCCTGGTTCCACCCACTGGGACTTTCCTAGCTTCCTCCTGCACAGCGAAAGTGGGGGGCGGCGGGGGGTGGAAAAGGCTGGACGGCAGTGCGCAGCCCGCCGCCCCGGTAGCGCGCGGCCCGCGGTGTGCGCTCCCCAGCTAGGTTTCTGCTGTAGGCGGTGCATTCCTCGGGAGGGAGGGTGTGCGTGTGCAGTGCCTTCCCACACTTGAGACAGCTCTTATTTAATGGGGGTCTCCATGCACGACAGAAGCCAGAGGAGGTTTTGCCGTTGCCGGCTCCTGCTTGGGGAACAGCAGCTCTTGCATCAAGTGCCAGCATGGAGCGCACAGTGGAGATACCCCTGGAGGAGGAGGCTGCCGGGAGCCACAGAGCCTCCAGGATGCACCTCAAGGAGGATGTGAGGCGACTCCGGTGCAGCATGATCCTGTGCCTGCTCTCCGTGCTGCTCCTGGCACTGCTCACAGCCTTCCTTATGGCAGCGAGCCTTCGCGCACCCAGCGCCTGCTCCAATCAGGTAAGACTCGGCTGCTTGCCTTCCCACTGAGCTGAAAGTTTTGTTTAGCATCTGGGTTTTATTTATCTCTTTTTTTCTTCCTTTCAGTAAGTAATTTAGGAGACGTTGAGAAACTGCCTTTTCGATGTCTTCTTTCTCTCTCCGAGCCAAGCTGCTAGGCACAAATCTTGTTTATTCTCTTGGATCTTTTTAACTATTGTTTTTTGTTCCTCTTCTCTTTAATTTCAAGTAAGGGCACAGTGCTAGGCACAACTTGCAAGCTTTTCTCAAGTTTGGCAGAGTACAGGAACCTCTTAAGAGAAACAGCTAGTTGGTGGAAATCACTGTCCCTCTACTGATTTAGGCAGATTTTGGCAGTAGGTCTAATTTCCCATCCTATTTGCACGTTATCTCTGTGATCTGACGTATCAACGTACTCCTGCAGCAATCCTTGCTGCTGCCGGTGCAGGGGGTCCAACAAGCAGCGCACACCTGGAGGAGGCAGCCAGAGTCCTCTGCAGAGCAGGGCTTTGGGACTGGCCAAAAGTGATGCTAAAACTTACAATCCTTCCTTTTTATCCTCCGTCCAAACTTTCTCTTAATGCAAGAAGCTTCTTGGTTGTCTCTCACAGACAGCTAAACTCTGCTGCTGGCAGTGCATGTTTGCTAGTTGCTTCCCAAGCTCTTTCTGCTGCCTGTGGAATCCTGCAAGCGGGTGCCTGTTCTTTCAGCAGCCCTCAAGCAAAACACAACTGCCCCAGGTTGAAAGAACAGGCATGTGGGTATATTCGAAGAATTGGGGCTTAACAGACTTTTAGCTTCAGGTCTCAGATTAATTAACAAGCCTGAGCATCTCCAAGGAAAACGGTGTTGAATAAGTTGCCTGTGAGGCAAACCACTACCCCAGCACTCACTCTCCCTGCAGATGTCTGGGCTCACAGCTGCGCTGTGGCCGTGCGCCGCAGATGCGCAGAGCAGGGCTACCCTCCTCATGACCTCGCGGCTGCGCTGCGACGAGCATCACACGCATCACCCGTCCTTAACTGCAGGGGAGGGGGCTGTGATGGTCCTGCTCAGCTGGTCCTGGTGCTTACATGCACGCGGAGCAGTAGATGTTACTGCCCTTTCCCTGTTGACGCTATTTAGTCTGGTTTGACTTAGCACGCTTTCTTTTCTTATCCTCAACCTATGAGGTTCAGCTCATTTCTTCTCAAGATCTCACAGTGACACTCTAATGAAACAGAGATAATAGAAATAATGAAATAATGTGTGATAGGATTGATACCTTCCTAGTTTTCAACCATGTTTGAAAGGGAGAAAAGTCTATTTTGGTGAATGCATTTAGCTTCTCAAGAAAGGAGGCACAGTGCAAGCCTTCCTGATGTGCCCCAGTTGTCACGACACGCAAATGTATTCCTGTGCACATGCTCCGCACTGTTAGCGCAGAGTATTGCCCTAGTGATGTAACGAGATGATCAGATGAGTTACAGCCTTTGCAAATCCCAGGGGGAGGAAGAGAAAATCATCACGGCTGGCCAGTTGCCATTTGTGCTTGGGCCAAGCAATTTGGGTGGAGCCCTCTGCTACAGTTGAAGTGGATACGGCTTTTCCCTGATCTTTCATTCACTCTACTGCTTACTGGCTGCATTGCCAGGACTTTCCAGCTCCAGAGGGAGGATGAGCATGATCCAGGCAACGGGGAACGTTTCAGGGTATAAAAGTTCTCAGGGAATGCTAGAGATCCCTTGTGCTTCCTGCCATGTTGAGTTAAGAGATGAATTGCTAAGGGATGCCTTCATCACATGCCATGCCCAGAGCTGGGACCAGAGTGATGAGGTGGAGACCACCAGGGCTTGTGGTGGCCCTGGCTGGGCTACTGTGGATGCTCCAGAGCAGCACCAGATGCACGTTCACTTGTTGACCCTTGTGGGCCGTGAGCAGAGTGATGGGAGGAGATCTCCCACGGCCCCAGGAATGAGCCTGGCCTGTGCGTGCCAGAGTATCAGCTTGCAGGTGCCCCGGACCTGCTCCCAGAGCAGGGAGGGACAAGTGCAGCCAGCAGCAGACGTAGCAAATTCTAATATCTCTAAATAAGGAGGAGGCAGGGAGCCAGCAAATGGTTGTGCAACAGGGGTGCGCCGCTTCGCTTAGCCCACGGCTGGGGCGGTTTATTCATCCCTGTTTTGGTGCAGGTGCCCGTGGTGTCACATTCTACTCCTCAGTGGGTATAAATTCACCTCATCCTATAGAAACAGCCAGCTCAGGACAAAGCAGGGCAAGCTGTGTTGTTACAGCAACATGTACGAACTGTGGATCTTCTTTCATGATACACTGTGTCTCGCCTGAATAATTCAAGTCCAATGCTTGTTTTCTTGGACACCTTCTGTTGCTTCTCTTTTGGAGATAGCAGTCACTTTCTTTAGTGCTCTAAGACAGCAAAGTGAGGAACTAGAGCTTTCTAAGCAAATAATTCATGTGTTAGAGGGAAACCTGGCAGTGTATTCCTAAGCAGAGGGCTGGGACTTCAACACATCTTCTCATAAAGAGAGCCAAGTTTCAGTCTGAGGGTGCAGAGATGTCGAGGGAACAGCACTGCAGCTGGGAGTGCATCCCCGGCTGCATCAGCCACCTGTGGTGCAGGGACATCGACAAGTCCCATGCCACACATGCTGGCACTTGGCCTTGCTTTACATAGCCACACCAGAATTGATATAAAGGGAAATACAAATCCCCCACACCGGGTTGCTGGGTCAGCCTTGCAAGGGAGGAGGGAGCCCCTCTCCTGCTGCAGGTCTGGAGAGCCAGACCCATGGTTGCTTGATGAATAGAGTCCAACAGGGCAAAGAAGCCAGGGAAAAAAAATCAAAATACACCTGCCCTGAGCACAAGCCCATCTGGGCTCTTTGTGCTGCAAGCCAGAGCATGGCAGAAATGTCCCACTCATGGGAATTTTTCACTGGCATGAAACCAGCTGCTACTTAATATGTCCAGCCTAGGCTCTATCTAGCGCCCCTGGAGCTAGCAAAATGATGGGTGTGCATACCATGAGTGCGCTACATGGACCCTGGCTGTAAAACTTACAATAAAAAAGTGATTTTAAAATGTGGTGGAGCATCTGTTCAGCTCTCCTCTTTTGCTCTAGTGTTATATGGATTTAAGTGGACTGAGGCTTTGGACGTTCTTAGTATTAAGACAATGTAAAAGTGCTTTGCACACCACCTTCAGCATGATAGCTGGCCATTTGAGCAGTCTGTTTGCCGCAGCTCCACTCAGTGGTGGGGTTATTCAAAATTGCTCAGCCCTGGTTATAACTGCCTCTCCACAGTGACCAAAGGGAAAATTGAAACCTTGCTGTGAACTTTTCAGAATCACAGCTAAGCAAGAAAGGAGAACAAAGAAAAAAGCACTAATTGTGTAAACGATTCCTCTCTACTGTCTTGTGCTCTTACCTTTCCATCACATCTTTCACCCTGAAAACTCTTATTTGCCACATCCACACCAATGTATAATTTACATGCCTATTTAGGACAAATCCTACACCTGCCTTGCCATGACAGTATTTCTACATGTTAAAATATTTTGCATCAGAGGTTTAGGGGCCGGTATCCCTAGCAAACAGTACAGTTAGGGGAAAAGGTATGCTTTTGCCAAGTATCAGAATAACTTTACACATCTCAGTACCCTGCTCCATCTACTGCACCATACTATCCATTAGCATCTAGAAATACAACTACTGCAACTGGATTTATTTCCAGTTTCCTGAAAATTAAGGTTACACAGACAGTTTCCTCTCAGTTTTCATTCAAAAAGAATTCTGGAGTTTTTGATAAAGCAATAAGATTTTTCTTAAGATTCTTCTTATTTTCCCCATCATCTCTGCTTGCGTTGCCAAGTCCAAGTTATACAGTACTTAAGCACAGGTTAGCTATAAACACATTAATCCCACTGAAGTCATATTAGGTTCCTGATTGATTTGCAGCTCATTATGGTACCCAGCATCACTAGAAAATATGGAAATTGATAAATAGACAGGCAGCATTGCATAGATAACAGTGTAGATGTATAAATACACTCGTAGGCATGTGCATCTGCCCCAGAGTCAGTGGAAGCGATGGACAGGAATCTTCCACAGTGATCTCAAGCTATCCACCAGAAGGACAAAGTCACCCGGCTATGAATCTGTAGTGCATGAAATACAGTCATGTTCAGACAGCACTACAAGTAGACAGGACCCAGAGAAAGTCATTAGTCATAACGAAAGGTCCAGACATCTCACACACAGAACAGCACCATTGCTCTCTGCCCGATGCACACTGCAGCACTGCCGAGGCCCATGTCCTCTGCACGACATTGCCGCGAGACAGCATGTTCCCTGTCTGGGGCAAATGTGTAGACAGGCATTTCTTTCCTATTTCTTTCCAACATGCTGGAGTCATTATTTCAGTACTGACAGTTATCTGCGGGATATTACAGAACATGGATTGCTTGCTGCTAGTGAGACATTAATATTCTTCTGGCTTATGGCAGTAGATATCAGTCTCCAAGCCCAGATAGTGCAACTTCACCCAGCCCCTTCCTGCCCCAGCCAGCACAAATATTCTATTCTCTATTTTACTTCTAATGTTTGAAGTCGTGTGGGAGATAACGTGGTTATCTACACACTGTGTCTTAGCTGATATGCGCCAAACCCTTAACTAGGAGGTGATCAGTGGCTGTCCATACTGTTCAACACGAAGGGAAATCTATTTATTGGAGCTATCTACCAAACACATCAGACAGTCCAAGCCCCTTCCTGGCATGGCGTTTCCACAGCCCCAGGTCTCTGCACAGCCTCGTTTCCCTGCTTCCTGCAGGCAGGCCATCCATGCAGACCCACAATAAGCTGCAGAAAGCCTAAGGAAGACTGCAGCTCCAGAGCTCTGCACACCTTGCATCAGCCAGGTCCGTGCTCAACTTCAGGCAGCCCAATTCCCTGGGTTCAGAGCTGTGCCCCTTTGCAGTCCCAGCAGGGCCACAATAGCCAAAGGCAGCTTTGCTTTCAGCTGTACTGCATAAATGTCATTGCTGCCTCCTGTCCTCTAACTGGGTGTTCACATGCGGTCATGGAAAGAGCATTGGGGTGCTCAGTTCTAGAAGAAAATTTAGGAGGCAAGCAAAGCAAGCTGGACCCACAGTTGCTTAGTAAAGTGCCAGCTTGCCACTGGGTTCAGGTCCCTGCCAGTTGCAGTCTCCTGCTTGTCTTCCTAGGAAACTATCCAAAATTAAAGAAAGACCTAAAACAGCTTTGCAGCCTGAAACAGCATAAGAAAAAATGAACAAGAGGCCAGCTCTGCAGCAGATACACCTCAGGAGCTTTCTTCATTGGCATTACAAGCGCACCTAGTGCTGGCGAAGGCTCAGCCCTATCAAGCTTTCAGGCAAGAAGAGCTGCCTCATTGCACAGGGGATCTCTGATGCTCCAGCAGTGCTGGCAGGATGCAGCATCCCTAAGCAGGGCTAGAAAGGGTTAATTTACCCTGACACATCACACCAAACCTTCCCCAGATGTGTGTCAAGCACAGGTGAACACTATGACCACTGGACCCCAAGTCTTAACCCTTTCCATCTTCTCTAGGATGTAGGTGGTCTCAAGCCAAAAGCAGAAAGTTCCCACAAATAAACAAAGCTCTGTTGAGGCTTGTCCTTTTGCATGAAACCTTTATTGAAACATAGGCTGTTTCCTGGGATAACTGGGGCAGGATTTCTCTGGATCAAATGCATGTCTGGAGCTGAGTCCCAGGGCTAACTGTTTGCAACTCTCCCTGCAGGCTGCCGAGGAGAAGGGCTCTCGCTTTCTGAAGCAGCGGGCACTAGCTACAGGTAAGTTTGTCCATCCTTCCCCCCACTCAAAACACTGCTGGGCACCAAGGTCCTGCAACGAGTGCCACAGCAGCTTGTCATGTGCCCGAGGATAGACGTCTTCCCTTGATTGCTCTGCTCTCACCCCGAATTCCTCTCAAGCCACACAGGGCAGTACAGACCCTAGGCAAAAACCTGGGCTGTGAGAGGCAGATGAACAGGACACAGCCAACGCCATAGATAAAAGGACAAGCATTTCTGAACTTGCATGCAATGGTGCCTGTGCACGGCAGCTCAGTGGCCCTCCCTGCCACCCTGGGGAGCTTTGCATTAAAAGCCACTGTAGTTTGTACTGCCGGAGTCTCCTGCTCAGCACACCACCAGTCATTTGCAAAGGCATTTTATTACCACAACGCCTGCCTATGTCAATAAACAGTCCCAGTAAATAAATCCCTGCTGAAATGTATGCGGAAATGGAAGGAGGCTGCACGCTTCTCCCTGAGCGCTGATTGCTGCTCACTCCTCATTAAAGAGCTGCGAACATCCTTTCACACTTGCTTTTTTTCTTCTCCTCCCTCTTAGGTATGGATGTGCTTTCCAGTGCAGAAAAGCCACGAGCTCACCTCACAGGTAATGATGTTTGCCCCAAAAATGAAATGTTTCCCTTGCATTTTCAGCAGATTTTGGAATACAAATAATCTCAGTTCATGCAGCTCTGACAGGATCAGAGTTGCAGGGCAGGAAACACAGGGAAAAGAAAGTTAACAGCTTGACTTTGCTGACTGCAATAAATTTACTGGGATTTGTGTAAGATGGTCTACAGAAGCTGGAGTTAAAACATTGCCACTTTCCCAAGCTGTTACTCTTTTTTCAATGAAACAAGTACTCAGAGCAGCTCTCGTAACTGAGTTTAGATAAGTGCCTGGTATTTTAGTTATCTGTTGAGCTCTTTAGTGTTAAAAAAAAAAAAAAAAAAGCAACTGTGAAAGCTCAAGACAGCCTTCACACCACTGTGAATCAGGAAGAACCACCAGGTCTGAAGGAAAATTGGGTCAAATAAGGTCAGTTTTCAGCCCTTTATTTTTCCCCCAAGTCCTGAGTCAGTTCACACACATCATATTCCCACAGAATAACCTGCTGCTTTTGGTGAGGACACCTCTAAATCATACCAGCAGAAGTGAGGGAAGAGCTAGCCTAGCTAAACTTCTTGGAGCCCCTATATCTGTATTAGGAATAGGAAAGCAAAGATTCATAGAACTGCCATGGAAGGGGATAATTGTCCCTTTCTGAGGAGCAGACAGCGTTTGAAAGGCTGCACCTCTGCCTTGCAAGTTCAGCTGGCCTTACACCACAGACACCATCCCAAGCTGTCCTGTGTTCCAGACAGCTCCTCCTTCTTGGAAAATTCAGGGATTATCAGAGAAGAGGATCAAATGGTTCCCACCATTTGGCTTAAGTGTCGAAGGGCTCTGATTGCTCTGAGCTTCTCCTGTATAAAGCAGTTTTTATCTTCCCAAAATACAGTGCACTGCAGGGCCTCCTCCAGAACTGTGTCACGATCCAGGGGGGCACTTATTAACTTCAAAAATGCAACTTTTTGCATGCAGCTCCATGTGAACTTACAAGTAGTGTTAAACAGATCAGCGCACCTGGGCCAATTTAAAGATGGCATGATTTGCTCTCTTGTCCACAAGTTTCTTGCTAACACACATCCTGGATCCCATTCCTTTCTCTACGCAGAGTGTCAGCACTCCAAAACTGAAATATCCTTGCTCAAAACACATCTGTGCTTAAATGTAAGTTTGCAAGACCAGAAGGACCAGGTCTACTAACAAACATCTTTTGAACTTCCACTTCTGCATGACAGAAACCGAGAGCTTCCCAGTGTGGCTGACTCAGAGAAGTAGCCAAAGCACTGTTTTGCTGATGGGGAAATTCCCTAGGTTGCACGAAATAAAATAGCTACCTCTGGGAAGCACCCAGCAGTTTGCTTAAAATTTCCTCAGGCTCTCCACTTGCAAGAGGTATTTGGCAGTCCCTTCCTCAGCAATCTCTGCAGGATTGTATCCTCCTTAGCCTGCCATTTGGGTCTAGTCACTGCTTGCCATAGCAAGAACCCAAAAAGGAAAAAGCTAGCAGCATTTCAAAAGTTTCCCGTAGCATTAGAAGCAACCAAGACTTGATTTTAGGAGTGATAAAGCTTGGTCTGACCCACTTTGGTGTCCTGTACCCAGCAACTTTGGCCAAAATGATTTGCTTAGGATGGACTTGCTCCTTTTCTGTACCATGGGGAATGGGGGCGGGGGTGGGCCTGAGCTGAAGGCTGCATCCAGACTGCCGTGTTACGCAGCTATTAGAGAACCTAACTTCTCACCTTTAGCTAATCCTTTTTTTTTTTTTTTTGAGCCCAAGTAGATTTTTGGCATCTATGGTATCCTGCAGCAAGGAGTTCCCCAGCTTAATGATGCATCACACATCAGAAATGCTTCCTGTTCTTTGCTTTAAACTTGTTTCACAGTAATTGCTTGGGTGCTGCCTTGTTTTTCCTGTTCTCAGAACCAGTGAATGGTGCATAGAAAGCGAAAAGGAAATTTTTAGAGCTTGTCAGGCACCTTTGGGAAAGTGAAAGTAGTAGACTGAAATACTCTCACCTCATAGGAATGCTCCTCCAGATCACTGGCTTCCCATCCTTCTCTAGTTTTAGAAATATATATTTAAGATGAGAGCAGAGGAGTGAGGGGAATGAGAACAAGTAGAGTGTCTATATAGGAGTGTCCCCCACTCTGCTAAAATTAAGCAGTAGTAGAAGGCCTTATGTTTTGTTCTCCATTCCTTTCTGAATAACCCTCCACGTTCTTTTGGCCTTTTCAACACACACAGAGCATTTTGAACTCACCCACACTGGCACCGAGACATTCTTCCTGGCTATCCCCATTCATCCCTGTGCACTGTTCAACATTATCAGTGCTTACAGCAAAGTGCCATACCATTGTCCCCTCCCTTACTAGGGACCAGTGCCTATTCTTCCATGCTGCCATCAACTGGGTGATCCCTGCTGCAGCTGGTGGCAGTAGGAGGAATCCCAAAGAGCATGTGCACTTATCCCATAGCAATAGTATGAGCTCTCCACCAAATCTGTGCACAAAATCCCTTTCTGGTTAGCTTGAATGGAGTGACCTTTTAAGGTCAACCAGTAAACTCACAGAGTACAATCTTGAACTACTCTGAGATCCTTCATCCACTAGTCCAATCGTAGTACATGTTGTAAAGAGCCTTCCTGCACAGGAGATTCAGACCCAATTCTCTTGCTGAGACCAGGAATCTGCCCTTGGGGGATGGCATTCAGCATTAGACTAACACTGATGAGGGCAGTGCATTGTAAGACGCTAGAATTTCAGAAAGATAGCCCAAGTTGCCAGGCAAACGGATTTCCCAGTAGGGGACTAAACCAAAAGGGACTGTGGGAACAGAAATTTCATATGTAAGGGATGCAAAAAGTGAAAAAACACATCAAAAAGCTGACGTAACCATAGCTATTAACTTCTCATTAAAAAGCAGATTTTATTTACTTTTTTTAAGAAGGAACATAGTATGTGCATTTCCAGGAAGTACGGCTGCATGCATCTATGCAATAAACACATGACTAATACAACTATTGCTAGAAAAGGAATGATATTGTCTCAAAGGCACTCTAACATGCATTTTGCCTCTTGACATGTCTCAGTCACGGAAAAAATAGTCTGGGAATAGAGAGCATCAATACACTGAGCTCTAACCTAAAAGGAAGGTTATAATTATAAAACTTAGAGTTGCCTAATTCTAGAGGTTATGAAATCGCATACTTCATCCGAGATGCATGTTAGTTATAAAAAAACATTGAATAATTGAGTGTCACTGACATTAAATGCGTCATTGTACACAGAGAGACAATGTTTCACATGCAGATTCTTCTTGATTCTTCCCAAACTTCCCAAGATGGAAAAGAGCCCAGGGTGTTTTCTGGAAATTTTCGTTTCTTTTCTGATCCTTTCCATGGCGAAGTTTTTTCCCTACTGCTATCTCATCCACAAGAGGTATTACTGCAAGCTGTGATAAACCTTGCAATGACCCCAATGTTGTTTTAGCTTTTGCCAGGGCTTTGCCTAGTCCCTAGACACCCAGGAGGCAGATGAGGGTGAAGGCAAACCAGGATTACTTCTGCTGCCTTTCATTCCTCTTTCAGGCACAGCTTCATTGGCTCAAAGCATCAACGCAATACGTTAAATTTAGCTTGGCTTATTATCACAATCCCTATCACTCACCAGTGCAGAAATACTCTCATGTGCTTTGCCCCTGGGGAAAGATCAGAAGGATTAATACTTCAGCACTGTTGAAGGCAGGCCGAGAAAAGTCATTCTTGTGCTGTGCCGCTAAGATAACATACTGCACTCCTAACACCGCCTTGTCTCCTTATGGGTTATCTATTGCCAGCAAGTAGGGAAAAGAACAGTGCTGGGAGCAGAGTCCATTAGTTTTTCTGAATTTCATTTCACTCAAGATAAACTTAATGGTTATCACCAAGAGCATTTCAAAGCTTTTCCTCATCTGCGTTCAGTTTGCTGCCGTGCCTAGGCACACCTGCCCAAATACAGGCTGAAAAACACCTCTAAATATTTACTCAAGTTCATAAGAAAGAAAAAGGGGCTAGTTTCCTGGAAATTGGCTGCTTTCATTTTTCTTGGCATTTAACATTGACCTCACAGGTTCCTTTAAATACATGGCAGAACCTCATTCTTTTTTCCTTCCCCTTCTATTTTTATTTCCCTGGCTTGGTGCTGTTTTACTGCAATGGTTTTGTGTTGCTATCCCCAAGAGGGCAGAGGAAACTTCATTGTATTGTGAAAGGGAGCAGAAGTAGAAGGACTATTGCTTATTCTTCTGGCTGTAGTTTAGGCCACCAATGAAAACATAAAGGAGAGGTGAAGGGATCAGGAGGACAGCAGCTTCCAGACCCTGCTTGGAACAGACCAATGCTAGGGGCAGGATTTGTGCTCCAATGCACAAGCCTGGGAAAAAGTCTAGAGGAAAGCTGAGGGTAGGATGCCAAACTTAGTGTTTTATTCCATCAAAACATAAAAAAAAAAAAAAAAAAAAAAAAGTGGAGATCTAACTGGGTTTGAATATTATGTGCTGTTCTGGGAATCAGAAGCATAGCAGAGCCTCTTGGTTTCTGCAAAAGGACAGCAATAAACCAAAAGCAATTCCAGAGCAAGAGGTTTCATTGTGCACATGTGAAGCCAAAAGTCTGAGGCAAGGGCTTATGAACCCCATCTCCATCCTTTAGAAGCAGCTTGGCAGGAGGAAAATTTCAAATGTCTCAGTGCACAGTGAGAGTCAGTAGGGGATGCCTAACTCTTTCCTTCTGGTCATTGTGAAACTTTTGCAAGCACGTGAGTGTTCATTATACTGTTAGCACTACACTGACACAAACATAGTTACAAGCCAGTGAAGAATATGTCATTCCAGAGTCTCATTACTGGCCTCAACCATTAGGAACCATTTGTATAGCTGTCAAGTGACGCTTTCCCTTAAGGGTATGGTTTCTATTCTGTAAATAGGTAAGATACCACAAGACTTAGCTATTAGAAAGGATGGTTTCCAGCAACCTGAACTGGCCAAGGTCTTCTAAAAGCACCACAAGGCTTTGGCTCCTGTTTGCTATGCTCCCTCCAACAACAGTTCCCTTGGAGCACACACAGTACCAATGGTATGGCCAGAGCCAGCTAACCGATCTCTTCTCCCTCTTTGTCTGCAGTGAAGAAACAAGACCTCATCAAAACCACAGGAAACCAGCTGCCGATCCTTCAGTGGGAAGACAAGCGTGGCTTGGCCTTTACCAAGAACAACCTCAGCTATTTCAGCAACGCACTGGTGATACCTGTGTCTGGGGACTACTATGTCTATGCTCAGGTCACTTTTCGAGGGCCCACTGAAAGTTCCAGCAAAACTAATTCTGTTACTGAGATCATCACCAAAGTCACTGACAGCTATCCCGAGCCCACCCAGCTGCTGACTGGCACCAAGACCCTCAGTGAAAAGGGAAACAACTGGTTCCAGCCTATTTACCTGGGCGCTGTGGTTTCCTTAGAAGCAGGGGACAAGCTAATGGTCAATGTCAGTGACATCAAACTGGTTGACTACACTAAGGAGCACAAAACTTTCTTTGGTGCTTTTTTACTGTAGGGCTTTGGCAGTATCTGGCAGGGACTTCGTTCAGGTCCCAACATCATTCCTTGAACCTCGACTCTGAGAGTGCCTTGGGGTACTGCTCTGTGCTCAATCTTCCGCACCACCCCTCACCTGCAGCCCACCACCCCCTTAATCCTTAAATTAAGGGACAGGGAGAGCTGAAGCTGCAGGCTCAATTGAAGCAACCCAAAAAGCCCCAGAAAAATTGAAGTCGGGGGGACGGGGAAGAATATATTTGCAGGTAAAAACTGAGAGCTCTTTGGAATTTTGTAAACCAGGGAGAAAAGGTTTACATTTGTAGGGCAGGAATATAGAGTAGGAATATTGATCTTGAACAATACAGCTAAGTTATATCAGTAGTTCCATGTACAAATAAGCTGCTTCCTCACCTCAGAAAGGTATTTTAAACTTTCCCTAGCATTTCCAGTATAACTCTGCATGACCTTTCTTCAGATACCCTGTACTAAAAGGTAATTACTTCTCATCATTTCCTTATGAATAGACTTTACACTAACATAAAGCCCAGCTTAAACATTAACTGCTTAATCAATCCCTTCCTACTTCCCTGTAAAGTAGATTAAAATTATACATTGTGGTTTGCAGAAGCTACCTGTATTTTTTTTCCCTTCCCTCCAGGATATTGTTTACAGTTTAAGTCAATATATAGCCTCAAATCTTTATGCAGAATTTTTAGGGAATAGAACACTTTCTGTTACAGCACAATAGATCTTCCTCTCAAATCCTAACATTAGGAAACACAAAGACTGAGGAGAGTGAAGAATCTTCTAAAAAAAAATCAAAATTTGTAAAGCAGTCATTCCAACTGAAATTTTAAGAGGAAATCTTTGCTTTCCATTCTGTGGAATGCAAAGAGAGTGCCATCAAAGAAACCACTTTCTTGGCGCCTCCCCTGCAACCATTGTCATGCTACAGCATTCCCCGAAAGACAAAGGGCTCCCCAGTCTTTTCCAGGGTGAAGACTGGTAACCAGTAGCCCCTGTACAAAGAAAAGATGCCCTAGCCAGGTGCAAAGCTCAGGAATGCTTCACTTTCCATCTTTCATTCCCTTATCTTCATAGACCTCACCAAGCCTCAGGGCAACTCTCCAGCTTTCCTTCTCTTCCCACAATAAATCAATCACTGGCAGTGACTCAAGTCATATTCTAGTAGATTCAGGCTTTACACTCCTAAGTGCTAGAAGGTCTCAAGCTCTCACATTTGAGTGCTTCAAAACCTGCCCATCTGCAGGATCTGGCTGATGGCCAAGCTTCACTCTCTGCAGCTCCTTGCTTCCTGCCTTGCCTCATTGCGCTCTCTCTGGTCACCACTCTTTGGCCATAAGTCACAGCAAGGCTTGACTGACAATGTTTTCATTCAGAAATATGATGGTACTAAGAGCACACTGTGTGAGCCAGAGTCGCACTGAAGTTGGGGAGGACGTAGGACAGGGGATGGGGAATTATGACTGTAGAGTACAAATAGAAAAATTATCCACAGGAAACAACACTATTCCAGAAGACAGTCAGGCCAGGCTGTTCTGTTCACAGTACACCTCTTCTTATCTAGAGATAATATATTGCCATATTAACAAAGATCTGTTTGAGTAGACAAGAAAGGTCACTAATATAGCTAGAGCATAGAGAAAGGCCAAGGCAGACTGGGGACACAGAAGGCAAAGAGCAGAGGGAGATGCAAGACAGGCAACACAATGATCCCTGCCAATGGGACTGTTCTTCAATCTAGTAGACCTGTTATGTAGTAAGCCATCTTGAAAAAGCAGTCTATGTGACAATACTTCCCTGCTCATCAGTGCCTAGGTCCCGCAGTAGGTCTAGTCAACCTTTGCTGTGTTAGCTACACCAAGCTAACACTAAACATACCAAAAAAGCCAGGATATTTTTATCTTGCCCTGCACTTCTTTCCGCAGAGGGCATCTTCCTTGCTTCCAGATCCTCCTTTCAAGTCTAGCCCTTGGGTGCTGGTTCACTGTGCAACACTGCTGAGCTAGAAAATCTGGCTAATACCCCTACATCCTCTTAGAGTATAGCATCTCATTCTTTGGCTTGTCCTTCATTTTTTTCTCCACCAGCATCTCATCAGTCCTCTTGGTCCATTTCTCCCAGACACCTTCCTGCCTTTTTCTCTCCTCTCCATCAGCTATAAGGACATCTCTTTGTCCAATTCTGTAATTATCTACATGCAACTTCTCTCATAAAGTCATCCTGCTGCACAGAGAACAGCACCTATAAACAGGTTAGGGAAGCAGAAAGTAGGTGCTATGTTATTTCTGGTACACACAAATTTTAGACAAAATAACATGCTACTATTTATTAGCTAGATTCACTTTCATCTTTAAGTCCTCATTCATGTGTTTCCTCCACCTCTTCAGGCTTTTATTTGAAGTAAAATCAGGTTCTCTGAGACAGAAACAGTTATTTCTGCAAGTATCCATCCCACACCTACCACAAAGCAGATTGGTGATCTTATTAGATGGAGGACTCATTCATCTCCCTGGTTAGATGATTTTTGCAGCTCAGAAACCCCAACTGTTCTCCTTATCAATGCAAAATGTAGTGAAATTCTAATCTCTAGGCCATTCAAGACACGGATATTCTTTGAGAAATCCTAAGGCTTTCTATATCTCACCATATATCAAAAAGCATTCCCGCAGCACCCCATATTGAGTCCTTTTGAGCTTCTGATCATTTATGTATCCAAAATAGGGTCTGAACTCAGGAATACGTGAAATTAGTAGCCAATTCTAGCTGTCCCAAGACAATTACAGAAATCCCTTTGCTTCTACAATGAGATAGTGTAGCATTCTTCTGAAGCCATAATGCAGGCCTGTTAGGTTTATAGAGCAGATTTCCGTAAAACCTATTCTTGGGTCACCAGAACGATGCTTGGTAGACTGAATCACACTAAAATGACTTTTATGTGTAAACAGTGGTGCACATATTATATTTGGCATATAATAAGAATCCTGTGAGACATATATACTTAGATGCATATACTTGTACACATTCAGTTCAAGTCCTAGGAATCCCTAGAGCAATAATGAGCTTTTTCATCACAAGGTACATAATTTATGCCCATGCTGATGATAAGTTTCATAACCAAAAACCTGCCTGCTGTGGCTGATGAGCAGCTTTCACTCTCTTGTCCCATATCCATAGCATAAACTACTGTTTTAGCACATTTAGATCAAGCTTTCATACCTCACTATACAAGTCTGCTTTTAGCACATTAGCACTTTTTATATAGCATAAAGTAGTATTTCTGGCATTACTTGTTTTAAAGTGGTGCAAGCATATTAACACACACCTACCCCAGTGAAAATTCTCTTTTTCTCTTTTTTCTCTGACTCCGTGCTGACAGTGTTTCTGTCACAGTGAAAATGACCAGCAAGTTTAATGGAAACACACACGGACTGATTATGACCAAAGGGTAAATCAGATTACTCCACAAAAGTCAGTGGCACAAAGTCAACAGAAAAAGCTAGTTAAGTGAGACAGAGCACTCAAAGGAGAAGTAGCCTGAACCCAAGCTTGCTTGTCATTTTTTCAAAATTAAATATGGACAGAAGGATTCCCAGAAATTCATCCCATTCATTGAATTTGAAACTATTCTTAGCGTAAGTCATTTCTGGAGATGTGAAAATGAATATGCATCAGCATTTTCAATTGAAAGAAAATGTGATGAAATCTGACCATGTGATCAAGTGACCTTGCAGTCTGTCAAACTGATTTTTGTTTGGGTGGACGTGAAACTGAAGCACTTTAAAAAGAAAATCCAGGCTGGCAGAAAAGGATCAAGTAGGCAGCTCCTGCTAAATGAGCCGCTAATAATTACATGATTTGAGGTTCCAACCCCTATGTCTTTTAGGGGAGGGGAGAAAAAAAAACACTTTTCACAACAAGTTCTTCAGAAAAAAATTAAATACAAAATTTTATCAAAATACATTTTTAGGAATTCTCTTTTTCCTTCTTCTTGATCCCCATAAAAACACTAACACTAAATATAATCCAAAATCTTTAAAAGGTTCACATACCTATCCCCTTCCTTTCCGAACCAAGTTTTGGCAAATAAAAGTCAACTCTTTCTATTTGTGTATGTATGATAGATACATAAAGATATTTAAATGATTCCTCTACAAATGATTGCAACTCCAGTCTTTCCAACATATTCTTGAGCTATATTTAACCTTTAAGTATGTAGCCATAGGGGTGTCACTGTAAAAAAAGTGCGGGTCAGCTTTCTTATTCAGTGTGTGAGGACTCAGCTCTTCATTGCTCAAGCTGAAATTGGATAAGGTAAACAAGTATTTACCCTCAATTACACCATTAGAGAAGTAGCTCTATTACTACTCTCTATTACTAAGCTCTCTAAGTGAAGGAGAGCTTATCTGCACCATGCTCAGCAAGTGTATGTTGGCAGGAGTAGAGTCTAGAGATGGAAAGCAGAAGAGTAGGTTCCTGAGCAAAACACGTCCCAAAGAGCCAACAGAAAATTAAGCTGTTAAAATGATTTTGAACGTAACCATTCAGGGAATATTGGTCCCAGTATGAAGGGACACTACACAGCTACAAAGAACTGTCAGCACAGACCAGATTAAGATTCTCTTGTTATTTTCAACAACACAGCTAAATTACATTTTGAAGAAATTTCATTTTCACTTCTGCATGGTATAACTAATCATTCTGTGCTTCATTTTATTAGTCTCAAGTGGCCCATCATTTCAGATGAGAAATGAGGAGAAAATTCATTCTTTAGAAGAATCAGACAATGTTAAAGATTTTGCCCAGATCTGGGTATTAGACACCAGTATAGCATTTTGCTACTATTATGTATGTTCATTTAAGTGGTTATATACTGTCTTGTTCTTTGATACCAATGTGCGTCTTTACCAGTAGAACTGACTTAGCTTCTTGTTTCCAAGTTTTATGATAATAAAAATGCAAGTAAAGCATAAGCATGGAATTCTGATGCTGATCCCCTT